AAGTTTATGTCCATGTTAAAGGTGAGCGAACTGTCTAGCCCGGTGTTTTTCAGCCTTTTCTGAGCCGCGGTACATTTTTTACTAACCAAAAAAGTTACAAAATGACACATTGCAGCATAATACAGCAAACATACTGATCCCCGGTGAAGGTAAATCCAAACGAAAGATAACTTTCACTGTATAGCCTCGAGCTCACCGTTTTTTATTTCTTTTGACCACCACTCATACTAGGCTTTTCATCTGGGTTAGAATTTTGTCCAGGCCCAGTTCTGGCATGGAAGAGTATTTAATTACTTAGCCAGCCACTATATTGCAGGATCAGAAGCTCAACAATGGCAAATTATTTGCAGCAACTAGGGGTGCAACGGATCACAAACCTCACGGTTCGGACCGTACCGCGGTTTTTGAGTCACAGATCGGATCATTTTTCGGATCAGCAAAGAAAAGGGGGGGGGTGGACAAATATAACTTTGCTTTCCATTTATTAATAAAATAACTTCAAGAACACTTAAAGCAAATAACTTTGGACTATAGTCTTACATGAAAACCACAATATTTATATTTATTTTCAAAAAGATGAGAATATCTATATTGTGTGGGCAAAGGGTAGCGCCAGATTTGTGGCTATGTGACTCTCACAGAGGGGGCGTGTCTGCAGCACCGGACTTTAAATCTCCCACTCCGGCGTGATGAGGTGAGCGGTCAGTCTTACTTTTCATAGAGGCCTGGAACGATCTTCACACTGAAGTGGGTGCGTGAGGGGATTTCGTAGCGTATTTTGAAATGCTTTGTTTTCCACAACGGAGAATGGTCTCATGTCTGCAGCAATAAAGACCTCAATAGATATTGTAATAGCTTTAACCCGGTCTGATTCTGCCACAAACCGTTTCTCAAATGCCGCGGTGATAAGTTGTTGTTGTTGTTGTTGTTGTGCCTTGGCCCCCGTCATTGACAGACTGGGGTGGTGGCACTACATATGTGTGGACATGCCCGATGTCGTGTGTCTTTCTCGTTGAACAATGCCGACATACCGTAACGGTTCTGTCCACCACCCTTATCCCAACATTATTAGTAACAGGAAAGCCAAACGTGACTTAAATGACACCGGGGGCTTCTGAACTCCCTCCGCTCGCCATGACTTTCACTGTCAAATGCTTTTAACCTGCTCATTCATGAACACACTACTGCTTTATATCTTTCCCTGCAACTCGATATTTAGAAAAGTATTACCTGAAAAAGTGTGAGCGGCAGTAAAACTTTACTTCACACTATGATGATTAAACTGTAAAAAAAAATATGAGGGGTGATCCGTACGGGTCACGGATCGATCCGTGACCCGTTACACCACTAGCAGCAACTAAATAATACAATAATAACTGTAGTGACCGTTGCTTCCCAATAAAAAAAAGGTCACCACGGTTGCTGAAATGTTTGTTCTGATGCGTACCACAAATAACGAAGTCCAGCTTCCAACATAGGCATTTATTTTCTACATAAACAGAGGCCAACCACTTTCTCTGCTGTAATCCATTTTCTTTACATAGACCAAAAATCATAACATTTATATTTGTTCAATGTCGCACGGTCAAAAACTGTTTGCTTCTGCTTATTAGCAACCACCTGTGTCCAATGACCCCACTGATTATAATACCTATGCCCTGATTCACACCGGCACTACGCCCCCATGTGGTGGGAGGTTGTACAAAAAACAAAACAACAAAATGGCTTATAGCAGGGGTCTCAAACTCCCGGCCCGCGGGCCAAATCCGGCCCGCCACGTCATTTTATGTGGCCCGCGAATCCGCCAGCAAAATTTAAAAAAAATAAAAAATAATAATAATAATAATAATAATAATTGAAGTTAGACTTGATAATAAAAATATCCCCATAGTCGAAATTATGAGATAGAAAGTCAAAATGATGAGATACTTAAACACACAGTCATAGAAGCAGCTCTTTGGCTGGTTACCCTACATTTGAAATGTAAATGTATTGTGAGTACATTGAAGACTACTTTAAACGTGTCTTTACAACAGATGAAATACTTCACGTGGGATTGTGCAAACGCACCCTTGAAAGGATTTTAAACATTGAACAAAGTTATTGTAATAACTTGTGTTTGATATTTGTCTTTGATATTTTCTTTAATAGTTTGATCTTTGATAGAGTAATGTGGGTTTGTTAACCCTAAATTAAAAGGATTTAAGTTATAAAAACAGAAATGTGCTTAAATATATATTTACATTTATATAACTGCATGTACAATATGTTGTGCTCCCCTCTGACTGCTATAACTATACAGTGTGTGTGTTGGTGAAAACACTGAAAACATGTGTGGAGAATCCAGTTTAGGTAGGTTTCAGTTAGTCTTCAGATCCGTCTCCACTACCATCATTAAAACACCAAATGAGGGAATTTCTTTTGAAAGAATAATGCTCATCCTTTCAGAGTTCCACACTCACAGAGAATCAATGACAAGCAGCCCTGAGGCAGTTCTGGAGGTTCTTGGTGGAACAACACCTCACTAACACACTTAAGGTCGGTTTGTCGAAGAAGAGCTCCTGCTCTTTAGTGGTTTCATTACAATTATATCAGACAGTGAGAAATTCCAGACTGCTCACTGACAGTTACACTTTGCAAAGACTACGTGTCTTAGTTTGTTTGCTCTGGTCCGAACCAGTGACCAATTTGTTACAATGTTGCATATTGCCTTGAGTTTGGATTGCGTTAGGGTTAAACGGCAACATTAACAAGCGGACCACAATTGATGATGTGTGAGTAAGAATTTACATGCTGAAAAACTTTGGGAAATAAACAAAGAGTAAAAGAAGTGCAGACTTCTGTTACAGAAATAACAATGGAGGGACCACAAACGATGAGGATGTTGGTTTGCAACAAGGTCTCATTCCCGTATTTGGTCCGCACCCAAGAGCGACCTCTCCAAACGACCAGCACCAAACAGTCCTGTGTTTGATTCAACTGAATTAAAAAAGGCAGGTGTGAAAACACTCTTGAAGGGACACCTTTTCAACATCTGGCTAGAAGTTGTCTCAAAACTCCTCCGGAGGTGGTTTGACGGTTTCAATAATTTACTCTTGGGCTTTTTTAAGATCAGGTCATCCATACAAGACGCATGAGATGACAAAGTGTAAATAGGGTCAAAGAATTTGCATCAAAACCGTATCTAGATTCTTTTATAATGTTGAATTTCATCTTAGTTTACTTAGTGTACTTTAAACCTCGTCTTCATCATTGGCACAAAAGTTGTCAACTCATATTTTGTGTCATTGCACTGGATCAGAGAAAACAGCCTGATCAAAGTTATACCTTACAGTAAAATAACTTTTTATATCTCTTAGTTTTATTCACTGTATTTTTTTACATCTCTTAGTTTTATTCACTGTATACATTTTATATCGCTTAGTTTTATTCACTGTACACATTTTATATCTTAGTTTTATTCACTGTATACATTTTATATCTCTTAGTTTTATTCACTGTACACATTTTATATCTCTTAGATTTATTCACTGTATTCTTTTATATTGTCTTCTTTATTCCTGTAACCTCTGTGTTGAGAGAAACTATTTGTCATTGATGTACGTATTCTTTATGTATGTATTCTGATTTAAAGACAGGGTTGGTAATGTGAAGGATTTCAGTATTAAAAACATTATTAGTAGGATTTAATAACACCCCAAGTGGTGAGTAGAAGTGTCACAATAATAAGAATGTCAACATATGTTAAGAGTCACAAATATGTTTACTTATGGAATTAATTATATGTTTACAATATTCTTACTTATAGAGGATATTATATGTTACAGTATTTTACTCATTGAATGTATTAAACCATAGAAGTATAGTCACTAAAGGTATTAAAACACTATATGAATAGTTTTGAGGGTCAGAAAGAGATCATTTTGAGTGAGGCTTTACAGAGGTGCAGCAGAGAACAGAGGGATGGACAACTGACCAGCAGGTCAAACACTGAGATGATAACTGCCCGAAGCCAGGAGGGGCTATTGAATTTCGGCCAATCACAGAGGCTGATACTGAACATTTAAACTTTCCGACAGAGACTTTTAAATATAGGCTTAGTTCCAGAGGGTTTTGCCACAGTTCGCGCCGTTACCACTCTGGGTGACCAGCTGGGCTGTGTTATTTAGTGGGCCTTGTGAGAACTCTGCCCTGGGGACATATTGATATCGATAGAGTAATTCAGTTTGCAACTGTTATAGCTTCTCTTGTTTATTAAATACTTTTTGATTGTTAACAGGATCCAGTTCATTTTTGGTGCGACTTCGCTGCCGAAGGTTTGCAGCAGCGAAAGTCCCATCTGGGTCTCCCCTGAAAAGGTCTAGCCCTAACAGTAATATTGAGAAATTAGCAAGAAATGCTAGATTTTAAAAAGTATCCAACCAAAAAACCCAGTTCAGTGTTGCCAACTCTTTTCCAATGAAAGTAGATAGCAGCACTAGCTCCAACATGTAGAGAGAGAAAGTCTCCATGTCTTTATCACTGACAGTCTGTCCCTTCAGGCCTCCCCTCCAAAGACACTTCCCAAAATTATCATTATGAATGAATGTGAACAACCAACATGGCTACTCACAGCTCTCTCTCAGAGCCAACGCACCCCATGGGACTGACAAAGAATACATAACTTGGGTGCTGACTTTCAATGTCCCTTTCCCTTCCTTGTTAGATATTAGTGCTTCTCTGGTTAGTGAGAGAATTCGACAATTTTGTTGTGAACTTCTGACTCCACTTCGCAGTGAATAAAACTCATCTGAACAGGCCAGAGAATTGAACCTGAAATATGTTTTTGTCAACATAGCCACACAGTCACTTAGACTGAAACTACCATCTCCTATGTTAGCTACTTTGACCCGACACTCAATCTAAAAGGAGGACAATTCATAATCTTCAGCCGTTTGTCAACATTCTACTCAACCTCGACATTGCCTTTCACCCACACAGACATACACACTATTACTCACCAGTGCGGGTGTTGACAGTGAAGAAGTTCTGTGGATTTCCACTGAGGATGCGGTAGTTGAGCCTGTCAGCGGCTGCAGGGGGTGAGGCATCAGGGTCCTGGGCCTGGATCTGGATCACAGAAACATCCCGTGGAGAGTTCTCGGGGACTGAGGGCCGGTACAGTGGCTCTGAGGTCAGCGGGGCGTTATCATTAACATCCTCCACCTGGACGAACACCTCAATAGTCGCAAACTGGGGAACAACACCGTGGTCGCTGGCATACACTGTTAACCAATAAGAGTCCTTGGTCTCGCGGTCCAACATATCCGTAGTGTAGATCAACCCTGGTGGAGGAAGAGACAAACGGAGCAATTACTTTCTGGGTATTTAACTCTGCTTCATTTCTCATTATCCAGACATGGCTTGGAGAGAGTAAGGGACTGTCTGTACTGTACGCACCCTTATCTCTATGGTTTTGCTCACAGTCAATCACTGCAAGCAGCTATGACCCATACAAGTCTGTCATTTCAGGTCCAGTCCCTCCCTCCAGGTTACCTCATTCCCTTCACCTAAATTCCCCCACCCAGACTCACCTGCATCCCTCATGCGTCGCTCATATTTATACCGGTTCAGTTGCTTTCACTCTCGGCCAGATTGTCTAGTGTTTTTCTCCTAGTTTTCCAGCTTTCATTTCTGTATTCTTCTTTTGGATTCCTTTTGCCTGCCCCTTTGGATTTGTTTGTTACACAGACTGATTAACTGGTTTGACCCTTTGCTTTGATCTCAATATTGAAGTAAACCTCTTCTACCTGAACTTGAGTTTATGTGTTGTTGTGCTTTTGGGTTCAAGTCGGCCTCCAGTTGTCACATTACAAGCGATTGAACTTAGGACGTTAAAAGTAGTAAAATGTTAATACAATGAAATAGAACGAAATAATTCATAATGATCAACATAAACGTTGATAACACAAAATAGATATAAAAATGGTAATATATCAATTGTAAATAATAATACTACAAAATGCTACATAAAAGCCAGACTAAAAAGATGGGGTTTTATTTTACGTGGGATCAAACTCCCGATCTTTTGATTGGAAGATGACCAGGTCTACCTCTGATCCACAACTGGAAGGTTGGAAAGCAGCGGCATGGAGTCTAATGACTATGAGTGGGTTATTACTCTCTTCAAATAGCATTTCTTTCCATGTGGAATCCTCATGGGCTTTCCCATGAATGCTGCAGGCTAATTCTAACACACACACGCAGGTATCTTTACAGTAAGTGTGAAGCTTTTAGCCACTCCATTTGTCTCTATGCTTTAGTGGAGAAGCTCATAAGATATCTAGATTTAGAGTGTTGCTGCTGCAGCTTCCAGGATGACTCTGGAGAAATGACGACAAACCCAAGCAATAATGTCACTATTACTGTCTCCTGTCCGGAGTAAACACACTTGTGTGTGTGAAGTGGTGGCAACCTGTTCTATTTGCTTTTCCGACTGGAGATTTACAGTGTTCAGCAGTGGTGGGGAGTAACGTCAAGTACTTAAAGAGCATTTTAATAGTAACTTTTTGAGTTACTGCAGCAAATTACTTGCACAATAACTTCATGATACTTTCAACTGATTCCGCCCAGTCTACTCTGCTTACTATGAAAGCAGTTTTTACACGAGCTAAATGAATGATTCTGGACTCAAAAACAAAAACAACAGCCCAAATACTAGTTAATTCTTCCGGATGACCAAAGACAATCCCAAGTTTTACACACTGTCCCTAGTAGGTACTGAAATACTCCAAACCACTTGTAGACAGGGCACGATTCAGGAATAATGTTTAGGGCTATAGGTGGTGTCAGTGATGGTGTGGTACACGTGGGTGGTGGTGGTGGGTGCTAAGTGCATATACTTTACAGCGCCATTATAATGCACAGGCTTACCGGGACTCAAGTAAAAATCACAGGCATTCACAGGGATTTGTGTGGTACTCCTGACTGAACAGGAACAGACTCTGAGAGACAGGACTCTGCGTACTGTCTCTCCTTAGCAGTCCTGCTAACATAGCTAACAGCTAACGTTAACAGAGGTTTTGCTAACTTGCATTATGGTGCATTCAAGCTCTACTTAGTAAACTCGGCATTGGACATAGGTAAATTACAACGCTATCATGTGTTCAAATGTCATCTTGTAAAATGTAGGTTTTTCTGGTGAGGAACTTGAATGAATCCAGTTGTTTGAAGGAGAGGTCTCCACAGCAATATGAATAGAGAATAGGGATGAATTATGAGCTGTTTAACTTCACCAAATCTAAGCAGCTTATAAACTAATGGCAAGATTTTTTTTTCTATCAGAGCAACCATTTAAATAAAAATACAATCATTTATTTCCTATTCATTAGTGTGTTTTATGCAAATAATCCCGGTCGATGACAAAAACAAAGTAAAAGTATAACATTGGTAACCTTTGACGGTTTTCACTGACTACAAGACAGTTGAAATTATTTTTTGGAATATTGGTGAAAATAGTTTGTCTGGAGCCTTGCTGTCAATTCTAGTTCTTAATTAGAAAATTGGAATCGGCAGGTAAAGACTTTTGAAAACATGGATGGTGGTATGATGGCATTTTTATGCTGCTATGATAAATTGTATAGACATTGGAGATTTAACCCACAACAATTCTTCATATTTTACAAGATGATAATAAGCTTTATATGTTCATAATCCAACTCGTAAATACAGCTGGCATAGACTTGTGGTAGACTTGATGTTCTACCTTGAAAAGGTTTACACTCATTTCAGTAACTTAGTTTAGCTGAACTAGAAAACATTTCTGCACAAAACAAAGACTGTGCACTTTGTCATCCATGAATTCAATACGACTTCTGTTATCATGGCTCATACATAACACTCATGTTGAGCGTGGACATGAAATCTTGACCTTTGGGAACCAATATACTGTGTTGAATATTCAAGACTCAAGGTTTACTTAATTAGCTATTCCCAAAAGTTTCAACCATATCCCACAGCCTTCTCCATATATGTTGCAGTGCAATATACACACTGCGTTATAAATGGTAAATGGACTGTACTTGTACAGCGTCTTCCGACCACTCAAAACTTTAACACTATATGTCATCATTCACCCATTCACATATATTTATACACTGATGGCAGTGCCACCTGACAGTGCCACCTGCCCATCAGGACTCTAACTAACCATTCATACACATTCATACACCGCAGGAACAGCCTGCGGGAGCAATTTGGGGTTAAGTGGCCCAGGGTCACATTTCTTGCCCAAAGACACATGGACTATCGGAGCCGGTGATCTACACTGAGCCACAGTTGCCCACTGTGGGCGGCATATAAGATGTACAGAATGTCCTTTCCTTTCGACAACTGTATTAACTTCATATGGACTGACAATACACACACAAAACCAACTCTGTAAAAATAGTAACCTAATATTCACATATTTGTGAATCAGATCATGTTAATCGCATCCCTAGAGATACAGAAGAATCTGACCTGTATACAGAGTATCTTTAGATAGTTCGACGTACAGCTCTAGCCTTTATATACAGTAATAGCTACATGAAGAGCTGCAACAATTATAAGAATACTAAAAAGTCTTTGTTTTATTCCTCGTTGTGAAAATTCAGCTAACACTTTAAATATCCATCATTGATGAATGATAAATTGATAAAAATCGATTCAACTTTAGTTAATAGTTGGGCTGTACGGTGGTGTGGTTGCTAGCACTGTGGGCTCAGAGCACGAGGAACCCAGATTCAATCCCAGGCTCGACGGCGCTTTTGTGTAGAGTCTGTATGTTCTCCCCGTGTCAACGTGGGTTATCTCCGGGTTCTCTGTCTTACTCCCACAGTCCAAAGACATGCAGCTTCGTTTAATTGGTGAAGATGTAGATGTTGGTGTGAATGTGAGCGTGAATGGTTGTCTGTCTCTATGTGTCACTACTGTGACAGTCTTGAGACCTGTTCAGGTGAGTCCTGCCTGATGTGATTAACAATTGTGATCGTAGTGTGTAATTTTAAGTCAAACTAATAAAACCTATTGCAAAGCTTGCACTTGTCTGTGTGTGTATATGTCTGTTTGTAAGTCTGTGTGTCTGCCTGTCTGTGTGAAATAAAGACCAAAAATGTACATATAATAAGTAACTTTACAGCATTGTTATCAAATATGTAAGGACAAATGTGTAGAATGAAACTTACAAAGAGAATAGCTGTGCTTTTGCTCTTAATATTCATATCTTGCTGCTTTTGTTTTGCACATTGGTGTAAGTTTTTCGCTGTCGTGTTTTCAAAATCTCATGATGTGTTTCTAATCGGTGGGATGCAAATCTCTGATGTCTTGATGACAGTTGGCAGGAAGTTCAAAAGTCAGTCAACAAACAAAAATATCCTTCACCATGGAGGCGGCTGTTTGTTCCCCATGTGAAACCAGAAATCAACGCTGATTTATTCGCACGTAACTTCCATATTTTAGTTATGCCACTTCCATAATTATTTGAACCCAAACCACAATCTTTTCCAGAAATTAATAGTTTACGTTTTTGGTCAGAAATCATACGGATTGTTGTATGACGACATTTGCTTTGTGTATTTTATTTGATTCTCTCCAAGTCAAGTAGTTTTATTTCTGTTTTCTTTTCATAAGGTTTAGTTTAATGGGGTTTCTGTCCCAGAACCTGCTGGCTGAGGGGACATCTGTCCAGAGTCTCTGTGGGTGAGGGCTTTGTTGTGGAGCATGTCAGGGTCACTTTCTTTTAGCTGGCTGTACATTTCAAAGCTCTCTTTTGAATTTGGATAATAGAGGGTATCGTCCTAACTGTGCTCTGCAGAACTGTGGACAGGATCAAGGAGCCCTGCTTTAGTTGGAGAGAGGAGCACCAGATCATCTGACTTCAGTGTGTGTGCTGCTGCCAGGAGCTGTACACTGTTCTAATGCCCTCTCAAGGTCATTGATGTCCACACTGCAGAGGGTTGGACTCAAGCTGCATCCCTGTCTACCCTCCAGCTTTGGGCTGTTGACATTTTTTATTCGAGTACATTGACTTTATGTACACGAATAAAGGTTTTTCATCCACAACACCACAACAGCAGATACTATACAGTCAAATAAAATAGAAGCCTTTTTTTAAATCAACAAATAAGGAGAATAATTTGATATTGTGTTTATTTGGTTGTCAGTTTGTGTGCTGAGGATGAAAATGTAGTCTGTTGTACAATAGTTTGGTAAGAAGTCATTTGTGATTTGCTGAGGACACAGTAAGGACGTGTAAGACCTGTGGTTGAGGATCAGACAGAGGATTTTACAGAGGTTGCTGATCCCA